TGCATCAAAACTCAGCCAATTTCTATGTTTTGATCCTTAATTCAACTTTGATAACTTTGTTAAACACGTTTAAATCAAAAACGTGTGCTAATTTGGTTTTTAGAAGCTGGATTATGGATTTCAAAATCTGACTTGGAGTAAAAATGCAGTTTCAAGTAGCTAACTTTGAACTCATGGTGCGCACGATTTAGGAAGCCTTAGGACTTGATTCATGATGCATATGAAGGATCAGGTAACATTATTTATAATGTTCCAAGAAATAATTCATTTGGATGCTTGAGCTAGAAGTTATGCTTGGTCAAAATCAGAAGAAAAAAATGTTGACTTTTATACTTAGAAAAATTCTAAGTTTTTTCTTCCAAAAAGATCTATAATGTTTTGATTTCAAACAAGGTCTTCCTTCAAAATTGAGCTTTTATCATTGATGCTAGCTTGAATTGGACTCCATAAAGAGCATTGTGAAACTTATATCACTCAAAAATTTCAAATATTGAACAAGTTATGATCTTTTGAAATTGATGAAAATCCAAGAGGTGACCTATAATATTTTGAGCTTAACAAGCATCTTGAAATCATTTACAAGCTTAACACCAAAAAGAGAGTTAAAGTTAACATTCTTAAGATCATTTTGAAATAAAAAAAGCTCAAGATGATGAAAATTGACCAAGTTATGATACTTTGAAGTCACATAAAATAATTTGATGGCCTATCTAGAGGACTTGTAATCTTTCTCAACTATTAGTGGTCTTCCATATAAAATTTTCTTGAAACTATTGAAGTGATTTGTTAATAACCCTTTAAAGAGAAACATATCTTTGGAATCAGTCAAAAATCTCAAAAGATGAACAAGATATAGTCCTTATAAGTTTAAAACCCTAGCTCCTAAAGCATCAAAATGACTTGGAAACCCTTTCAACTTTTGACAATCTTTCTTGCACAATTGCCTTTTCTATGTTAAGAGAAATTGTTATGGATGATAATAAGAACCCATAACAACAATAATCACTTCCCAGTGTTAAAAAATGAGAAATATATGCACTTGTAATCAAGGAATCAAGAACTTGTCAAACTAGGTCAAACCTCTTGAATCAATCTTGCATCTCTTGACTTTCCTTAGCAAAGTAAAGTATGATGAGACATAGTAGGCCTTGTCATGACATTTTCTTTAAATTAATCCCAAAGATGAAGCTTAAATCTTAATGAAGCTTTGTTGAAGAAGGCATGGAAATAAACTCATAAACCTATGAATCAACCTGATGAAATGTGTTGTGCCATCACCTATAATTCCAACATCCATAGAGAAAATTTATATACATTGTATTTTTTTAGTTAAAAGTCAATAAACACAAGATAAATAAATCAGGGTGTTTGGTGATCCCACATAAGCAAACCTAAAGATAGGAAGAAGAACCAAACCCTAGCGTGTGATCTTGATATGATTGGGTTGACATTGAAATGATGAGAGATCTTAGGGGGGAAATTGGGGCATAACAGTACTAAAAAGAAGAAAAATCAACATAAAGGCTAATTTGCACCAAGGAGGCAGAATTTCAAAAGCCCAGTCGGTTAACACATTATGATAATCAATTCGAAAAGTTTGAAACAAATATTTTCATATCAAATCCAAACTTAACGCTATCCTCAAGAAAATCAAATCCTAATATTTATGAAGATTTCACATAATCCTGAGAAATTGGAAAATCTAACTGATTAGAGCCCTTAGACAACCGGTTAGGATACTCAAAAAAGAAGAAATTTGATTTAAATTTTAACCAGCACAATCTATACTTAATACTTTCCTGAAATACACACTTAAATCCTTATATGGCACGTTATAAATAGGTATTCTCTTCTCATTCTTTTGCATTGTATATTTTTTATTCCAAACGAATTTGTGAGATTATTCTTGCAAAATCATCATGAATCCAAGAAGATTAAGCTTCACCTCCATCCCTTCCACTTATGATTTCACCATCAAACAACAAGAAATGAGATACTTTCAACACTTTGCCAACTGAACCTTTTTGAGAATTCATACCTAGCTCCAGAAGATTTCAAAGAATGCAAATTCTTCAAAACCTTTGAAGGATTCAACCTATTCACCTTTCTTTGTATGCCTCCAAGAAGGATTTATACATCCCTTGCAAATATGTTCTTCTCAAACATTCATCTTCCTGATGGAATACTTCAAAGCAAAGTAAGAAAACACATGATAAATCTCTCTGTAGAAGAATTTGGAGAGATGCTAAATCTTCCTCATGAAAATATAGTCATTGAGCTTGGAGACAATGTCAACAGACACAACTACATCACCGTTGTATCCTCCCTCATGAAGGAACCATCATCAAACATACCTTATCCATTCACTGTCGGATACATCCATCTTGGAAGTCGAATAACTCACTATGTAATAAATCACATCTTTTTTTCCAGAAGAGACAACTTCGATCTCTTAACCAAAGTTGATGTAGAAACAATATAGTTAATAGAAAACAAAGTCAAGATAAATTGGGTACAACATGGAATTGACTACATGATAGAGAACAAATAAAAAGGTGCACATATCCCATATGGAAATCTAGTCACAAATTTTTTGGAAGAAACATATGGTACAACTTTGGAGACGAAGAATTCAAGGAAGAAACAACCACAATGGGAAGATTTATTCTACTGTCAATGAAGCTTGAGCTTATTAATGTAAAGATTACTATAAGACCACCATTAAATAAATAGCGTTAGAAAATACCCATGGAGATATCAAGCTCTGAGAATTTCCTTCCTAAACTATCCACAATCAAAGACATCAGTGACTTCATAGAGCAGTACTTCATCCCCGACCAAACCAAACTATCACAAGACATATTCTTTTATGATGATCTTGATGTAGAATAGTCTCACTTAAGTTTTTCTATTTGTTGTGTCCTGCAAATGTTTGATTCAGTACTTCCCTTCATGAGTTTTATTTCTGCAAATTTCTCTTCTGTAATTTTAATTTTTAGTAATAATATGAGTGTGATATTTTTTCTTTCTCTAAATATCTAAACAACCCTTATTTGCATATTTATTTCTCGCAATGCATCTTTACCCGTCTTTTTGATTTTGACAAAGGAGAGACGTATACTCTCAAGAGTATACTCTCTACTTAACTAAGAGGGAAGATCACTCTAAATATATCTATATTATTTCTTTTACCAATTCCCTTGAGAGATGTGTTGTCTTTTTCAAAAAGAGGGAGAATGTGAAACCTTGTTTTGCAGGTGATATGCTTTTAACAAGGACGTCTACTTTTGATAATGATAACTAATATGATAAGTCAAGCATGAATGATTAAGTGATTAAAAATGAAAACCTCATCATTAAACTTTGACGGGCTTGACTATTCGATGATGGCAATCAAATGAAATACAACTAAAGTCTCATTTCAAACTACTCAAGCACGTGTCAACAAACAGAGAAGTATCTAACAAAATCTTAAAGTAACGTGGTAATCTCCTAATTTAGTAATGAGTGAATGATTGAAAGGAAAAAGGACTTTATCGTAAAAGTGCAAGGCTTTAGCGCACACACACTAAACTATTCTCAAAATCCATTTAAACTCTGATTTTATCTCACAAAGTTTTTGAAAACCACATTTTTCCAAACCACGTAATTTATCCTCCTCTTGTGTGTGAAGTCTCAAGTCCAACAAAATCGAACCATTATTTTTACCGGGCTGATCTCAGACCTACCGAGTTTTTACACTGGGTGACCTCATAAGTCAAATGATATATTACATCAGACTAATCTCAAACGATAGAGCTTTTAACTGAACTGAACTCAAGAATCGTTATAAAAAAATTTCTTTAGTTATCCTTCACAAACCCAAAAAAAAAAAACTTTTTTCACTTGCAGAGTTCACGAACCAAACTAAAACTTATTATAATTCATAAAAGAGCTTTTATACAAGTTAACCTCCAAATCAAAACAAATACTTCCTATAAAAAAATAATGTACTCAAGAGAAAATTCTTTTAAACCACTGATGACTATACAAAAGTAATATTGCAATTTCATCCATACAAAAGTGGCCATGTAAAATCTTTTAAAACTCCATCCATAAGACATCTTAAGTAAGAAGAAAAATACTTAATCCACTTAATCCTCTTAAACTTATATTGGCTAAACAATCACACCACTACCTTCATTTATAGCCAACTTATAGTTTAAAAAACAAAATACTACACTTACCTTGTACCAAATGATAATGTACCAAATGACAATTTAACTGATTAGGTTTCAATCCAAATCTCATAAAGAATGAATTTGAATTTCATTGTCAATGTGAAAATTTTAATGGCCCATGATATGTAAGTAATTCTGTAAGCGTATTTTGAGCCATGAAACTTTTATTGATCCCCAAGTTCCGGAGACACATTTGACCTAAATTATATGTATTCAAAAAATAAATTGAAAATTTAAGTTTTATGAATAAAATAACGAACTTATATATTTTTACTATGTAGGCTGGTTTGATTTTGGATGGTGTCTGAATATTGGTTATAAGGTTTGAAAGAAAATGGCAACTGAGTGGTAAAGGGTTATGGAACAACTTTTAACACCCTCTTTTTTCTAACAAATCTCATTCTCAAAAGTTTATCTCAACCACTAAAATTGTTGCAACTGAATTTCCAGAAATCAAAACAAATATAGAAAGAAACCCTTTAAAAAAGTTCTAGAACTGATTGAATCTTATCACATGTGTTGTATCACTATCGAATAATAGACACGGCTTCAATCTGAAGTGTCGGTCTTACAAAGAAGCCGTGTTTGTAGAATGAATAGCTTGTTATTACAAGTAAAAATGTCGAAGTTTTATCGCCATTTTAAATACTAAAATGGCATTCTAGGAATCATCTAGTTTCAGGCATATATTAGAGTGTCTAAGTAGAAAGATTGACACTAGAAAAGTGTATGTATGCAATTGCAGAGAGCATATTAGCAGAGACAAAAGAATGAGATTTATCAATTTGAAACTTCATTGTATTTGAATACACAGTCGTATAGGCGTCCCCCGAGAAATTGTGCAACCTCAGGATGTTTTACCTGGAGAAAAATAATACAAAAAATTAGGATAATTAATTTGACCTTAAGTTTTCTTCTATGAAGCACGGACACAGACACGCACCACACATGACACCAACACTGACATGTGACACTGGTAATAATTTACAAAAAATGAATAAATTGAACATAATCACGAGTGTCTAACACAGACACAGATGCTGACACATCTTTTTTCAGAGAAGCCGGTGCTACAGAGGTTTTCTTTATTGTTATGAGAATTGAGAAGTAAAATAATACAGTTAAATGCATATTACCATTCCAATCTTAAGGGAATCACATTTAAATTGAGCATACAGATTTGTTTCGATTCCGCGGCCCTGTCAGAAGAAATAAATCATTAGTTTCTATCTCAATGAAATTACAGTAACTAAGTCTAACATGAACAAATGCAGTAAAAAAACCCACCATCCCTTCTAAGATGACAAGATCTGCATCACTAGCAAGGTAAGCAAGCTCCTGTGATACTCTTGTAAGATCGATAACCTGCAACCCATTGAATAAAGCAAGATTGAAGATTCGATGTCATAGATTCAAATACCATAATTTACCAAATTAATAAAGTAAAAAACATTCTTCGTTTTCTTACCGGTAAATCATTGCCAGAGTTAGCAATTAAAAGGTTTGATGTACTGACACCAGCAAGTTTTCCTTCATCGTCCTTTAACTGGAAACAAATGTGATTGAGTTAGCAAAGAATATGATGATGGCAAAAGTTTACGAAAAAAATGTTACTGTTACCTTTGATATGATTTCAACTAGCTCAGAATATGTCACATCATTGATGGAAGGCAAGTCATTTGCAGCTAATACAACCTGCATTCAGACAGAATCATGTAAACTATACCGAAGATGGAAGCGGTAAGAATGGCACGTCAAAAGCAGATTCAGTTTCAAACATATTTATTATCCACTACAAATTCAGCTATTCAGTTAAACCAATGAAGTCTCTATTTGGATAAACAACTTAATTAAGTGTTCATAACATACAGTTGTTTATTAATAAACTATTTCTATAATAAAAAAATAAAATAGTCAAACATTTTTTTATAAGTTGTTTTCATAAACAATTCTAGAAAGCTTGTGAAAATAAATTGAAAATATCTTATAAACATGTTATAAATTGTTTCCATACACTCTCAAAGACTCATGTCAGTAGATAAATTTAAATAAGTCAATTTAAATAGGTCAAAATACCTATAACATCGCAGTCAACATAATCTCACTTGTTATCCATCAGAGGATTGGATAAGAATTAAAACGACATTGACAGAAAAATTCGCTTTTGCGGCTTTGGTAGAAATAGGGAGGTAAACTTTTCTGTTAGTGTAGCAGTGATGAAGATGTTTCCTTGAATGTATGGTAAAATTAGACAGAATAAGATTAGAAATGACAATATTAGAGTGTTGTGGAGTAGCACCTATAGTAAAAAAGATTGAGGAAAATATGCTTAGGTGGATTTGGCATATAGAGAGAAGACTGGTAGATTGTGTTGTAAGGAAAGTAGATCAGAAAAGGAGGAGTCAAACAACTAGAAGTAGAGGAAGACTTAAACAAACTATAAAAGAAGTTATTAAGAAAGATCTCGAGATTTACGAATTAGATAGAAACAAGGTATTGGATAGAACATTATGGCAGAATTTGATCCATGTAGCTGACCACATTTAACGGGATAAGGCTTGGTTGTTGTTGTTGTTCAAACAGTTCTACACTTAGGTGCATTTGATTGAAACTTAACTTTTGTACTTTGCTTCTACACAACACTTGATTTTGGTACAAAATTAGGCATTTAGCTTTTATTTAGTGTGAAATACGTGTACATGGGTTTCCTTAACAGATTACTTACATACTTGGACGATTTTTCTTCATTGATTCAGACTAGCTCGGATTGTCTTATTTGATTTTATCTACTGATATAACATAACATAACATAACCACTTCTAAGACTATTCGAGAGAGCTTATTAAAATAGCTAACGACATGTTCAAAAGTTGTTTTCAGCTTATACAAAAACTAAAATTGTTTATATACAAACACTTGTATGATAAGTTTGTTTATGCTATAAGGGCTTAAGTTGTTAATCCAAACAGACTTTCTCTTCTTTCTTAGTTGTCTTGTGTTTCTTCTAGTGTTTTCATCCTCTCATCTCATTGTAATATCTTATCTTTCGTCTTAATGAATTTTCATTTTGTAAAATAAATAAACAGAATATTGATAAACCTGACTCCCACGCCGAAGAAGCTCCCTTGCAAATGGTAAAATACCCAAAATAATATCAGCACCAGAGTTATCTACAAATATAATAACCTGCAACGATGAAGAAAACACATTACAACACCACCACTGCAGAAAATAGGCCAGAAGACAAAAAAAAAACGACCAATCATTTTAAATATGTAAAGATTTATGCACACAAAAACTTGCCTTCTTCCATGACTTTTGGCTCCATTTCAGTTTGAAAGCATCAAGATCATCAATAACCCAAGGTCGAGGCACAAGATTTTGACAACTTGCCAAAAAAGACATTCCATCTTTAGAGAAAACCTCTGCAAGCTTCAAGGAATCGTGAAACGAATATGTTAATACATAAACTACGCGTAAATACGATTCTCTTAAAGTCCTGCATATGATTTGTAATTGTAATTACTAGCAAAAAAAAGTTATCCCCCAAGACTAGTATCCTCGCCTCAAAAGATGCAAAGGAAATCTTTCTACCTGCGCCGAGCCAAGATCAAATATGTTTCCTGCAAAAATTCCCCTAACTAGATTCTCAATTCGCTTGCCTTCATCTTCAATGGCGTCATTAACACTGACAACGTTCTCAAACAAGGAGATGGCTTTTGCATTTTCTTCATCCTATAGCACCCAGTCAGAAAAGTGATTAGTATCACAATGAAAATCAAACAACATTTGTGGAAATTTCATGCCACTTTGGCAAGTAAATGTAGACATTCGGATTTTGGTCGTCATCCTCCGGTTCCCGAAGAAAGGGGAGTCTGGTAACCAGGAGTTTGGTCGGAAGGTAAGTAAAGTCTAGCCAAGGATTATTCCAGCCAAGAGTAAAAAAAATGTAGACATTTTAATCCAACTAATTCTGATAACAACTCCATTATACTTTCCTCTATATCAGGGTTTTCGATGGCGGATGGCAGTCCATGGCAGAGAGCCAAAATCCCGCCATACCAGCCGCTTAGCGGCTCCGTTATAGCGGATTATGGTGGAAAAATCCGCAATATCAGCCAATATTTACCATTGCGGCGAGCACAAAAATCCCCATGTGTATCCGCCATAGCGGCCATGGTGCCGCTATTTGATAACACTGCTCTATATTCATGCAAGATGTTGCACACACCAACCCCTACAATTAGATAGGCACACACGTTTCTTCAACATCGATGTTCTCAATCATATATCGAGAAAAATAACAGTTTATTCAAATTCCTCCACGCTACAATGCGATAGTACCAAGATAGCCGCTATTTGACTGTTATCACTTTCTACTAAGTAGAGTGTCTCAAAACAATATAGATTTGTTTAAATTCCGCTATGTTATAGTATCGTTAAAGTCGCTATTTGACAACACTGATAAGCATTTTATTATTTATGGCTGCATAGCGGTAACAAATAACAAATAGGATCCGAAATCGTAGACAACTTTACCTTAACCTTTTTGAAGATATCACTGAACCCCAATTCTCTGAGTATTAGCTCACGAAGTCTGCATAGAAGCTAGCAAATCGCCCCACCAAAAAAATAAAAAATAAAAACAAAGAAGGTAATTAGACAGACAATTGAACTGTTAGGGTATAATTTGAGCAATACTATACAACATACAATGCAATCAGGTGGTCCACCATGACTTTCGGGATCTTTCTTGAAATCTTCAAGTATATCAGCATACCTTTACCAGGGAATGCAAAAAAATATATAATTAGGAAAATCACATACTACAAACGAAAAAAATAAAACACAAACAAGATAAGAAAGAGGAATCAGATCACCTTTGAGCAAATTTTTCAGCTTTACTTGCAGCATCGGGGACCGAAGTATCACTCTCTGCACGCTTCCTGACAAATCAAAGTTTACAAATAATGAATAGATACAAAAACAGCGAATCAGATACAAAAACAGAAATTGTTATTTGTTTCAATAACCGAACAATAAGATGGAAAAAGAAGAAGAAAATAACATACTTGAAAGAGGGTATGGAGTTAAGGAAGAGATTAATCCAAGAGATTTCGTTAGGAGTAGGTTTTCGAGGATTATCAGAAGGGAATCTATAAGGAATAGTGCAAGCCCGGTAATGAGACTGAATTGGTGTTAACAATAATGGAAAATCAACGAGCTCTGATGCGCTTTCCATCTTCACAGCCAAAATGGAATCGATTGCAAATAAGTGATTTTTTTTTTAAGCTCTAAGGATTTCTCAGTTTCGCTCACTCCTTACGCTAAAAACTGGAAAAGCTGTTTCTTTGTTCAAAAGTAATCTTTTTCTTTTTTTTTTAATATCTTATTTTAAAATATAAAGAAAAAAAGGTTTTTTATTAAATAAATAAAATAAAGTTTTTTATTGGTTAAAATAAAATAAAATCAGAGAATCGTAAATCTACCAGAAAAACATTATAATTTTTTAGGATAAGTTTATTTTTATAATAAATAAATTTAACCATTGAAATTGTAGTACATCATTTTTTTAATTAATCTAATAACAAAAATTTTATATATTAATGTTGTTATGAATAAATACAAAGTGGATGTCAATCTTTCAATTTTTTTATTTTTCAGTCTTTCATCTTTTTATTCATTATTAAGTGCTATGATATCTTATAAATAAGAATCACATTACAATATAAATATAAATGTTAGTACTCGACAAATATAATATTATATTATTTCTTTTCTTATCTTTCTCTCTTTCACTTTTGGGACAGTTTGTTTCATCTTTAAAAAATAGATTTTTTTATTGTATTTTTGAAAATATATTTTACAAAATTGTTTTTTAAAATATTACAAGTTTATTTATATTTATTTTTTCTAAATTAAAATATTAATTTTGACATCCTATAACATAAACTTACATTATTGAAAAATAAAATATAGTCAAAATCGTAATTTTTTTAAAAAGTTGTATTTCAAAAATGATTTTTATGAAAATCTATTTGAAAGCTTCAAAATTAAGTGATTTTTTTTAATTTTGATATCTAAGAAAATTTCAATAAAGAGATGAAATACCTAAAATAACATTTTAAGTTCAAACCAAATTTTCATTTAAAGTTTTTATGAAAAGTTTCTTTGTAAATTTTTTTACTCAAAATTGTGTAACATTATAAAACTCATTTTAAATAATAAAAAAATACCAAAACAAGCGGGCTCTTATATTGTTCTTCATCTCCCATTCATCTCTATGTTATTTTTGTTAATTTTATAACACGTTATCAGCAAAAGACTATATCGTGTCCCTGATGATATAGCCGGATTCTATGTTAATTTTTTACTATCAATATATTTGAACTAATATAATATAATTCATGATCTTGTTATTATTTTTTCACATAAATATGTTTATTTTTTTAATATATATTTTGAGAGAAATTTTTATTTACCTTGTACAATCATATTACATTTCTTTGATCATTCTTGTTAAATTCGAGAAGAACTTAACATTAAAATATTTCTGAAAGATTGTACAAAGAATAATTATTAAATTTGTCCAAAATTAAATTTTAACACGTAAATGTGTTAATTTAACATTCAAACATCCCGGAAGGATTGCACAAAAAATAATTTTTCTTGACCGTTGTTTATGGAAATAGTTTGTGATGTGATCTTTGTAGAATTAAAATTTAATGTTAAACTATCTCCAAATTATTATTCAAAGATTGAATTTAATTGATTATTGTGTTTATCAATAATTGATGAATTTCAGAAGAATTCAATATTCAAGCACCTTTAAAAGGTTTCATCTATAATATTATTAAATTTTGGAACGATTATATCAATTATGTTAAAAATTAACAAAATGATTACTTTAATAATATTACTGAGTTCTAGAAGGATTGAATCAATAAAAATAAAGTATCCTAGAAGGATTTCACAAAGAAAGTTGATTTTCGTAATATATATTTTTGAGAAACAAAATTGAATAAAAATGATCCAATTTTTTTCATAATTTAATGGTATGCATCTACGAAGGATTGCAAATATTATAATTTTATTAGTAAAATAAAGGTCTTAGGATAATATCAATTGTGATTTCCATGCATCTCAAAAAAATTGCAAAAATATATTAAAGCATCTCAGAAGGATTTCATAAAGTTTTTTTTGTTGTATCGATCTAAAATTTATAATTTGTAATATACTCATAAAAATATTTTCATTTCAGAAGAATGACGAAGATAATTTTAACGTATCCCAGAAGGATGATTATATGTTTTAGATCATTATTTATAACAAATCATTCATATAGTTCCTGAAGATCTTATCAAGTATCAGTGAAGAATACTAAAACAAATTAATTATATGATGATATAATTTTAGTGATATGAATTTGTACGATTTTGATAATTATATGATAATATCTTCTTATGTATGTGTATGATTAAAGTGTTTAATCATGAGATACTATTATCTTAATTTTGAATATATTGTCAATCATTATCAAAATTAGATATAGTTGTAGATGCTTCAAAATTAGGATGATCAGTGTTTAATTTGTGTTTTCGATTGTAATACCTTATATTAAATAAAGTCTTGTTGATACAATTTCTTTATTCATATTATTTCTAAATATTGATATTTTAATAAGAGAGTTGAAACATTGATTACTATAGGAAAAAATAAAAAAGTCTCTTTCGTGACTCTAAGAGTAGGATATTTTGACCTGTATTATTCTTTTTGGTTGTATAGACTACAATTTTGCACTACAAAGTTTCTTTTTATATAGAATAAATATGTTGCAACTTATCTACTTTAATCTAAATCTAAGATTGTCATGATGACAACTTTGATCACAATCCTAATCCTAATTATCTAGATGGCATCTTGTGTAACCTTATATGTCTATGTGTCATTTTATTATAATATTCAATATATCTAGTCGTTTTCTTATAATGTCCAATATTATTTGTAACTCTTATGTGACATCTTATTAAAATATTCAATATTATTTCTAACCCTAATAATAATAATAATAATAATAATAATAATAATATTAATAATAATAATAATAATAATAATAATAATAATAATAATAATAATAATAATAATAATAATAATAATAATAATAATAATAATAATAATAATAATAATATAATAATAATAATAATAATAATAATAATAATAATAATAATAATATTAATAATAATAATAATAATAATAATAATAATAATAATAATAATAATA